TTTTTTTCTGTTTCTTCGTGGGGTCGTGTATGCCGGGTTTTGAGACCACGGGCTCCCAATCTCTCTTTTTTAGAGCTAATGTGAGAAACAACAACAACAACACGTGTGAAATGTTCCCCCGACACACGGGTTGCAACGCGTTTGCCACTTTGGTGCACAAGCGTGCAATGATCGCGATTGTGTGTATGGTCATAGACACAGCAGACAACCACCAAACACGTCATGGAATAGAGCAAAACCCGGCAGCTTTGTGTGAGCGTCATCAAATGCCGGACGTCCAATAAGGGTATCTACGGACGATGGGTAGCCAACATGCGATTTGCAGAGAGGCTACACTGCTGTACAATCGAAAGGCAGGCGCGTTTGCGCGTGCACATCGTGCTGTTTGCTTCGCACGCACGATCTTCACCCCCATATGCCACAGTTCCAAGCAGACAGAGCAGATCGTTTCCACTTAGAATAAGTAATTTCGTCCGTCCTGTGTGTGGGTAGTGCGTAGGCAACCAACCGCGGGCGTGGGCATGATGGCCAACACGCGCCCTAATAAGCACGTGGTATGTTCAACCCCAGAACAGAGCGAAGCAGCACTCGACTGCTGTACCTGTAGATCCAAGCATGATCCGGCTTTGCCCGCCGCGCGCTCGGAGGGCTCCACCCCAGACGTCAGCACGCCCCAAAGAAGAACCCAGAGCCAGAGTCGGAACCACCGAGACTGCCCTGCGCCTCGAGAGACGTCGCCGTCCGTGCCGGCGGCATTCGCTGCGCGCTGCAGCCGCATTGACTCAACCACGAGCCACAGCAAGCGATGGGTTATACTATTTCAGGTTTCCTCTTCGCTCGCGCAGGCAATCGGAAGACGAGCGCTCTCCGAAGTGTCTCGCTACGACAGGTTGTGCTCGTTAAGGTCGCCCCCAGTTTTACCTTGTAGTTGCCCCCTGCTCTGGTGGTAGGGCCCCGACCAGGAGACCGTCGTGGTCCCTCAGGCGAAGTACGCCCGAGGGGGGCCGTTGGAGGAGGATAGTACACATATGCCGTCTGCCATCTTTGTTACATTTTACGATTCACGGTGACCCCTGCCGATGCACTTGATCATAACAACAAAATGAAAGCGAAGCGTGGAGACTGCTGCATAATCACCGCAGACGTACACGCAAAATTAGGTCGCAGTAAGATACGGCACGGACTATAGCTTTCAATGCTCGTCTTCCACACAGGGTGAGGTCCCGCGAGAGAAGGCTAATCTGTTCCACCTCTCCGCCCAACCCGTTCCTACTGCTGCCGCTGAGTGCCCAACATACGTTGCTCGTTCTTCGAGGAGTGTGGCGAAGAAGACAGTGGGTTGATTACGACGGAGAGACTTGTTGGACCCGGGAAAACATACAAGCTCAAAAGATCGCAGCGCTGTTGTAGGAAGAGAGAGGGGCGGACAGCACTCAACCCGGTTGCGGCGACGCTGGAGCTGCCGCAAAGAAGATGAAGCTGAAGCGATTTCTGCTGCGGTATTACCCGCCAGGTAGGAGACGCGTGGATTGATCCTCGCTCAATTTTGCGGTATTCCCCTGCTGGCTAAACAATGGTTGCGTTGGATCTTGTATTCCACCTACTGCTGTACGTTAGCTGTAGTAGGTAATCCGGCAGCACCTGGTCCACCACTCGTTTTTCTGCAACGCACACGGGAGCGGTAACGCTTTCTTCTGCTTGCCCCCTCTGCGTGTCTGCTCTAGATTTCTACTGCTGCAGTAGGTTGGGGGTGAAAGGGTGCCTTGTGTGCCTGGGCCTTGATTGCTTGTTGTAACAGCAGGCTACTCATCAAACAGTCAGTCTCGCACGTTGTACCGCTGCTGTGCAGCAGCAGTTCAAAGGAAAAAGCTGTCGCGTGAGGGATACACGTTCTCTTCGCCGGTACGCTGCCCAACAACGTTTATTGGTTATTACCCGTCGCTCGTGTTTCGAGTTGCCACATGGTTGATTTCTTTACCGTTGTCAGGGTACAGATAGTCGCAGAGTCGCCAAACAGGTGGCACGTTGGTTCTGGTTTGGTGCCTGAAAAAACTCACGAAGCAAAGCTCTGTGCATCGTCTTGTCTCCTCGTGTAACAAGATACACTGCAGGTTGTTAATCCTAGCTAAACAGTCGTTCTTTTTGCGCACCTGTTGGTCTAAGAACAAGCTAGCCTGCCGCGTAGCTATTGCACTGCGAAGCACAAAATATAAAAAAAAGCACGAAAAAAGGCTCACTGTACTGTACCCTTGAAGTCGGGAAACAACAGTGTTGGCGGCGTCCCACGCTCCTGCCTTCTTTACGGAACCACGCAATGAGACCATGTTGTGGTCTGTCGACTTTGCGCGGCGCGAAATTTCGGAGCAGAAGACGGCTGCTTATTCTGCTGTACAGCAGTAGTACGATGTCCTCTGTTGACTGCGGCACGTCGTGTTGTGCGAAACTTTACTCCAAAGTGCGAAGGCTTGCTCAAAACGCACAAGTAGTCCTGCTTCACTAACAGTAGTGGTTTCCAATGCGGCGTTACGTGGATTGTTCTCAGCGTTCGCGATATCTCTGCTTGTCTATTCACTCTGTGGTCACCCTCCCTTGCCATTGCTGCCGTCTGTTGTTGTTGCTGTTCTGCTGCCGCCGGTGCGCTGCTGTTACCATGATCGGTCATGGTAGGGATCATGCTTGAATACGAGCTTCGAGATAGGTCGCGGGAGATGAAGGAGATCGATCTTTTGCACCTATCTCCAGAGTAAGCTGGGTTTTACTACTGTCTCTGATGAACCACGAGTGTGGACCTCTACATAAATTGTGCCTAGGGCTACGGTAGTCCTCGTACGTATGTGGAACCAGGTACAGCAGACCGTACCGGCCCACCAATAAGACAAAAAATCTGTTGAGAAAATGATAGGTGCACTACCTGTAGTCCACATCCCCACCCACTGTAGATTCATATCCATGTACATGTATGGCATGTGGTTGGCTAGCTCCCTCGACGGCGGCGACCAAAAATACGGCAAGGAATAATTTAGCCTCGACTCGAAATGGACGTGTCGCTTGATCGCGGGTCCGTCGTATTGTACCATGAAGTACGAACTTTTACCTTTGCCCGTCAGCAATGACGTGAGAACGAACGTGAGGACGCCAAACCAAACCAGCTACACTGCCGTTCAGCGTACTTTTTGCCGTTGGTAAAAGCACCCTGTACCCACCGCCCTCAAAGATATCCATAGTCTTTAGATGGGGTTCAAGTTTAACGAGCCAAGATCGATCGTCATGCGTAATGTCCCAGAGAACCCAATGCCTAGGCACCATCAGGACAAATTGTCATCCATCCCATTGCATTATGCTGCGCTGCGCCAAAGGGCTTCGTGTGGTGCCTGGCGAAGCTCTTGACGTCGTCTGTTTCCACAAGCCCCAGACACTTGGTGGTCTTGACTAATAATTGTAACTCAGGGATGTGCCACGCTCCCGAAGACATGGTGCGCATGCGTATGCTACGTCAGCTCGTGTTTTGTTTGTCAGAGCACGTAACGTTCAAATCCCGGCCCTAATGTTCCCTCCTCATTCCCCCCCCCCCTCACGGCGCCCCCCTCGGTGTGTGCCATGGGGATTGGGTTTTCGTCGCTTGGCAACGACGTTGTAAAACAAGCCAATTCACTTCGTGAACTCGGCAACCAGGTTACCGTTT